TCATTATTGTTGTTATTATTGTTATTTTAGCGCATTTGGCGAAACAGCCGTGCGTAAATGGAACAATTACGCACGGATTTGCGCTGCTTGTGGGCCACGTGACGGACTGTGACCTGCGTTCCCGTCTCCTCACACCTCCTGGGGCTTAACCAGAGCTGAGAGCAGCACCAGTAACGTCAGAGTTTCCAGTTTGAGGAGATTTTGTTGGACGTTTGAAGAGCTTTCAATGCCTAAAGCCCTCTGAAAGCTGCGTTTTTTCCCCAAGAATGTCTTTCATGTCATGTTTGATCTATCAGATGAATTTGAAAATCAAAAATGATTGGATTTTTTTTCTGCTTTTACATCCAGACGCGTGGCAAAAGTTTCCCGTCACGCAGCCCTCCGTGGCAGATTGACCTCCCACGCTAGATCAGTTTTTAGAAAGCTTCAGTTGGTAGAAGATTTTCATTTACATGCAAAAAATGTAACTCTTCTTTTGCAAGAACATGCCATAATTATGCATTACTGGCATTTTTTTGTTGTTTCTTTATTGTGAACAACTTCTCGGGATCCCTGAATCGTGTCTCTATTTGATTTTCTGTTTAATCGACACGAACTGAGTTGAGTGTTTTTTTATTTGAGTCATTTCCCGGAATTATTTATCTATTTTTTCACCGTGATAAAGCTTTTTTAGAAAGAACACAAGTGATATTAGGCGTAATAAAGTCGACTCACGTTCTGTTCCAGTGTGGAATCGAGGCCTTTGTTGTTGTTGTTGTTGTTGTGAGGCTCTTTTTGTTGTTGTTGTTGTTGTTGTTGTTCTTTTTAAAGGCTCGGTGCGTTGGGTTGCATCCTGGACCCTCTGCAGTCTGCTGTCGGTGCAGGAAGTCCCCGCGGGGACGCGTTTCTCCTGGCTGCGTGTGGTGCGTTCAGGTGCCTCCTGCCTGCGCGTTTCGGAGCGGACGGCGGTCTGAACGCGCGCGTCTCCCGGGCGGTGTAGGAACCAGTGGGTGGCTGTAACTCCACCCACAAAGAGAGGGAAGCCGGGAAGGAGAGAGGAGAGGAGAGGAGGGAAGCAGCGGGCGGCATGGAGGATGTCAGAACAGAGACAAGTTGGTACAGAATTTAACCGCCGACACTGTGCGCTTATCAATTGGCAAAAACGAGTTGTTTTTGTTTATGACCGAGTTTTAAACAGTTTTGTAAGCGTTTTAACCTACATTTCATTTAGTTGTGCTGGTTTTGTTGTCCTGTCATGACTTAAAGTGTGTGATTTGAATATGTTTACAATATCTACTGCTAATCTAGTTTTCATATTCGTCTTTTTGTTCCAAACTTGTTTGAGTGAGGGCAGTCTATCACTTCAATTTGGAGTATTTCTATCTCCTCTTTTAGCTGAATATTACCAGTTCTGCTGATTGACACCCACGCTGTCTTATCCTTTGTAGTTTTTATGGCTGTTTCCTGCAGGTGAATCTGTAATAGAATAGAATTTAAGCACAATGGTTACACTGCCTGTTAAAATTCAGGGTTGCCTTCAGGTTCCACCATAAACCCACGTCCTTATTTGTGCATCCTTAATTCTTCCCCTCCAAAATCATCTGTGTCCCTCCCCCCACAGGCAGAACAGGAAAACATACAAAAGAGAAGTGGAGGCAACAGATTTTCTAAAAAAATGTAAAGTTGTTGCTTAAAACCTACAGATGAATATGAGATTTGAAACAAAAACCTAATCTGTCTTTTATTTTTAAGGCTGTCCTGTCATTTACTGCCTATATCTGATGCGTATTAGTGAGTACTTCTGCAGCTTGTACTTTCGAGCATCCCTTTAGAGCATTTTTTTGCATCTTTTTTGCTTCTTTTTTTGCACCAAAGTGCATTTTTTTGCACCTTTTTCTTCTGGGACCCAAAAATCTGACCTCACCAAAAAGCCGGACACCCCTGGACGGTGCTTCTGGTCACTGGCCGTGAGCGAGGGAGCGTCCGTCAGAAGGATCCAGAGAGAGCTCCGTGCACAGAGGAGGGGGGGGGGGCGTTTCAAACAAAGCCGAGCACTGGCAGATCAACAGAAACTCCCACGTGGTCGGAGTGGGAAATGAATAGATGTGAAAAGACAACACAAAAAGCCCCGGACAAAAAGACAGCGTGCACGACAAAGTGCAGTCAAATTAAAACAAAAGATGCAAATAACCAGCAGATCTCATCACAGGCAGATAAAAAATATCATATAAATTATTTAAAATGAAAGATGTGCAGGATAATATAATTCTATGAAAGGTTACCTTATTGAATTGGTTTTGTCTTTGAATTTTCAGCTAATTTTGGCTCCTGAAGAAGAAATAAACTCAATCTCCAGTTCTCCAAAAGTCAGTTTTGAGTTTGACACAAAGCACACAAATGACAAATGTGCAAAAAATCAAACAAAAGCAGGCATTTACACAAAAATAATTGGCCCAAGACGTTTATTAGACCTGGAAGAGAGCAGCAAATATTCCAGCAGAGCAGCATTTTAGCAGCAGCATCGATAGAAAACAGCCAGATTTCCTTTAAGGCCATTAAATACAGCATTTCGGCTAAAGTCTAAACCTATGGTGCATTCTTAATCCAGCATGTGAGAGCAAAAATAAATAAATAAACACAATCTAATCTTCTGGCACACACTGCCACCTGCAGGTTTTCCGTCTTAAGCACAGCAGTAAACAGGCACGGGGGGGGGGGGGATTCCATCCTCCAGTAAAAAGGCACAGATCAATGGCACACACACTTCGAAACTCTGAGATTTTATGTTAAAAAAACCTGCAAAGAGTTGGTAAACATCTGGTGGACGGCTTTCGTCTGCAGACTGGTGGCAGTCGTGTTACAATTTGGCTATAATTATTACCTTTAGCATAGTATGCTAACACATAATATATGTAAATGACTGAGTGTCTTCTTCCTTTTAGAACTACACTTTTGTGTTAAATTCTCTGTCTGTGAACACAGATTTTATTTTCCTCTCTTTAGCTTTAGACAAACATCATCACACACACACACACACACACACACAAACTTTGGTACCACATTCCGAGGTTATCTGCATTAATTAGGACCTGGCCGGTTCATGTCAGGGTTAGGGTCAGTAAGTAACTGGCCAATAAGCCAATAAGCATGAGTAGTGTCCAGTTTTTTGTCTTGAGGGGGGGGGGGAAGGTATCTCAGCAGATGTTTTAAGGTCTTTGGCGTAGAATACGAATCCATAAAACGGACCTACAGCAGCACAAGAGGCAGGGTCGACCGACCAAAAAACCAGTGAAAGTGTCTATATATTTAAAGCTTTCTAAAGACATTGAGAGGCGTTCAAAGACGTCAGAGTTTTCTACGCTTTGACCGGTTCCTCTGCCGGCTTTTCCCCGGCGGGGAGGCACTTGGACGGCACCGGCAAAAAGCCGCTTCCTGACCTGAACGCGATGGCGAGCGGTAACCAGGGAGACGGCGAGGCCTCTGCGGGGGGGCAGAAGGTCCTTGAAGGCATCCCGAAAAAAAGCCGAAAACCTCACTCAGTAAAAACGGGTCTAAATAATGAGGTTTTCAGGAGGAGAAGCGGCTTTGTTTGAACATAAAAATCATCCTTGATCTAATCAACCTTTTTAAAAAACTAGCCGAGGTCCAGTTTGACCGGACATGGTCTTTTCAGGTCACATGCATCAGAAAAAAAAACAAAAAAAAAACACATTTTAGTGACATTGGTACAATAAATCTAGAAAATCTTCATTTTGAGTGGGTGGAAAATGCTAAATGTTCTGCTTGTTGACCGAGCGGTTCTGAGCTGCTACTGGTCAGAGGCTGAAGGCACTGACCACCAATCCTCATTCATTTAGCAGCTGCTCAACTTTGTCCGTCTGTCCGTCGTCGGTCTTCTGAACTCTGACCTTTGACCTGTAAGCCATCTTCAGTGAAGCTCCGGTGATAGTGAGCACGCACCGAGCGCTGACCAGTGGCCGACTGGCCCTGACACCAGCAGGCCACAAACACCCGAGTACTGCCCTAAGACCGGACTACAGCTTTGTCCAGCTGCCACAGATGTGGCTGGGATGGCTTTCTCTCCTTTCCTACAGTTAAAAAAACACTCACAGTGAAGCTGGCCACAACGCAGTCAGCAGGCCGACATGGCGGTCAGCAGGCAACGCGGTAGTAGGCCGTCCGGTAGTAGGCCTTGTGGTCAGCAGGCAACGCGGCGGTCAGCAGGAAACGCGGTAGTAGGCCGTCCGGTAGTAGGCTTTGTGGTCAGCAGGCAACGCGGCGGTCAGCAGGCAATGCGTTAGTAGGCCTTGCTGTCATGTCGGTCAGCAGGCAACGAGGTAGTAGGCCGTCCGGTAGTAAGTCATGGGGTCAGCAGGCGACGCTGTCAGCAGGCCGATGCAGCAGTCAGTAGGTGACACGGCGGTCAGCTGGCCGACGCAGCGGTCAGCAGGCAACGCGGTAATAGGCCCTGTGGTCAGCAGGCTGACATGGCGATGAGCAGGCAACGTGGCGGTCAGCTGGCCGATGGGGTAGTAGCCCGATTCAGTGGTCAGTAAGCGACACTGCAGTCAGCAAGCTGACATGGCGGTCAGCAGGCGAAGTGGCGGTCAGCTGGCCGATGCAGCGGTCAGCAGGCAATACGGTAAAAGGCGACGTGGTGGTCATCTGGCCAACATGGCGCTGAACAGGCGATGTAGCGGTCAGCAGGCGACATGGAGCGGTCAGCTGGCCGACATGTTGGTGAGCAGGAAACGTGGCGGTCAGCAGGCGACGCGGAGCGGTCTACAGGCGACGCAGAGCGGTCAGCAGGCGACGCGGCGGTCAGCAGGTGACGGGGTAGCAGGCGACATGGTGGTCAGCAGGCCGACGCAGCGGTCAGCAGGCAACATGGTAGCAGGCAACGCAGCGGTCAGCAGGCGAAGTGGCGGTCAGCTGGCCGAAGCAGCGGTCAGCAGGCAACACGGTAGCCGGCGACGCCGTGGTCATCTGGCCAACATGGCGGTGAACAGTCCGCGCGGCGGTCAGCAGTCCGCGTGGCCCCTGGAGAAGTCCTCCCAGGCGCGCAGGAGCTCGTGCGGCCGGAAGCCGTTGACGATGACCATCCGGCTGAAGGCGCAGCGGTCATAGGGCAGCCGCTGCACCGCGAACAGGCTGCGCGCGAAGGGCGGCGCGTGGGAGTAGACCGGCCGCACGCCCAGCACGCGCAGGCACAAACCCACGTAGACGTCCTCCAGGGGGATGGACCGCACGAACCTGGACGCCCAGGAGATCCGGCCCGCCAGGTCGGTGGAGAAGACGTAGCCGGCCCCGGACACGTACGGCGGGAAGCGGGCCTCCGGGTACTGCTCCGCGGACAGATACCACTTGCTGGCCGGGTCTCTCCGGGGCCGGCCGTCCCGGATGACGGAGCCGGTGATGAAGCCCAGCCGGGGGCTGCTCTGGAGCCGGCGGAGGAGGTGGTTCACGTTCACGAAGATGTCCGCGTCCACCTTCATGGCGTAGGTGGCGTAAGGGCAGTGGCTGGCCAGCCATTTCATCATCATCATCGTCTTGATGGTCAGGTTCCGGTAACTGTCCACGAAGTCCATCTGGACGATGTCTCCGTGGAGCCTGCTCTCCCGGTCCAGCGCCTCTTGCTCGGGGGAGCCGGCCTCCGACAGGCCGGCGTAGAACAGGGTGAGCGTTTCCCGCCGCGGGGCGCCCCACGTCCGCCGGACGGCGTCTCGCGCGGCGGTGTCGCGCGGGGCGACCGGTACCATGAACACCAGGAAGGGGCTCCGGTCTCGGCAGGCCTCCGGCTGGTTGAGCAGGTACCGGTAGGCGAGGGGGGATATGAGCCGGTCCTCGACCGGAAGTGGATTCGGAACCGCGGTGCGTTTGAGGACCGCGCTGAGGAGAAAGTGAGCGGACAGGAGCAGAGCGGCCGCCGCGCCGAGTAACTTCAACAGCCCGCGGGGGGAAACGTTCCTCATAGCCTCAGTCGGAAGGGGTCGTCTAATGCCCCAGAGCGACGGGACGAACAGCCTCCATGACTCCAAAGAGACCCAAATAAACCGGTCAAACGAAGGGTGTCCCGCCGTGTCACTCCCAGTCCGGAGAACCAGGAAGTGTTTGAAGAAAAGATGCCTGTGACGTCACATGTGACCAACCTCGAGATGACCGAAGAAGGCGCGTGCCAATATGGACCTGTTGAAGTAGTGTCCGGTTGTTTCAAAGCTTAGTTTTCGTTTCAATATTAATAACAGTTTACTTCAAGTTAGAAAAAGGTATGTATTGATGTCCATGCCCGAGGAGTAAAAAAAAAAAAACCGTATAGGTCTGAAACAAAAAGGAATAAACGAAAGTTAGTGTTTTTTAGACTATAATTGTGAACCGCTGGGATTGATTTCACACAGTGATGACATAAATTAAAAAATGTTTGTTATTAGCAGCCTGATCAGAAATATGTGGCTGTCAGTAAGCCTTTTTTAAATTAAAGAACCAGCCGGACAGGTCAACAGGTCAATTGAAGGTATGAAACCTCCCAAAAGCCCGGACCTCAAAATGATTGAAGCAGATTGGGGTCATCAGGTCAGAAAAACTGAAAAAAGGACGCCACTATCCGAAAGATGAGCTTTGGGATATCCTTGAAAAAGCTTCGAGAACTATTCATATTAAGTCATATTTAGTCTTATTTCCAGTATTCCTGAAAATGTCAAATGAAAAGGTGTCAATTTGAAAAAACGTTGTTGTTTTAAACAAATTTTTTATTGTTATACAGTTGACAGAGACACACCTGTTTTCACCCAGTTCTAAACAAATAAAACAATAGAAACAAACTTAATTTACACAGGCATTCCTCAGAAGGTCAGTGGTTTAGTACCCTGCCGCAGCAGGTGGGGGTTTGGGGGTGTTGAAGGGGGTAGAAACAGTAACTAATTACTAATTTTGGCCTGTCCAAACACTATTTTTTTTTATCTCAAAAGCATCAAGACCTTACTATTAACACTGGAATTCAATTAGAATTGGCCTTTTTCTTATCACAAAACATTCTCTTGCTCCACATATATGTACTGTATTCACATTTCGCAAAAAAGTAACAACAAAATATGTAATCACCGCATGTCTTTATACTGAATAATAGGTCCTGCCTTCGAGTCATGATAGAAACAAAACACATCTTTTCTCTGTTCTTTAGCTTTTTAAAACACGATAGCGAAGCCTGCCTTCAGAAGCTCCCGTAACGAATAAAAACATGGCCATCCACATGGACATGGGATGTGGAAAGTTAAAAAAAAAATTCATAGACTTTTTTTTGTTTCCTGTCCGTCTTCTCGTTCCATCTCTATCACCCTATATGCCGGCTCATGTGAAAAGGTTGTGGAGGGGGGGATCTGGGGAGGGATAAAGTGACGCTGACACTACTTACGTCACACAGAGACAAACAACTGGCAAGTCAGACAGAGATGGGTCCCATCTGAGACGTGGGACATTTGAGGAAAATCTTTTCTCAGATCGTTTAATCAGATGTAAAAATAAAAAAGCGTTCGGCTCCGTGAAGTGAATTTAATTTAATTTCTCTGATACTGCAACCCAATGGTTGCTGCAGGATTCTGAACAACGCCACGATGCACAGTCCGATAAAGAGCCTGTCTTTTCTGTAAACCCCTAAATACGGTGCGATTGTAAAACGGGAAAAACCGTGTGACCGATGGCTGTACAAGCGGGACTCGAGCCTCCGACGGGATCACGGGGAATGGAGTTGCTCTCTTTGGTGTGTGTGAGTTGGATTTGCGTGGGCGTAGATTTAAGGTGGCGTTCGTCGAATTCGTCGCTGTTTTCGGACCCTTTCAGAGGGGGGGAGACGGGTTGATTTGCGTGTGATCGGGTGGGGAGGAGCACTGGTTTTGGACCGGTCTCGGCGGAGGCTTTGGTTGCTGCAGGGTAAGGTGTGTGTGAGTGTGTGTGTGTGTGTGTGTGTGTGTGGGGGATGGTTTGTGGGGAGTCCGGACACAGAAGTAACAGTGTTGTTGTTGGTCATGTCGTTATTGATGGTGGAAGAACTCTCGGATGGTCTACGACCGTTTTCTCCTCCCCTCCAGGTTTCTGAAGTTAGATGGTCGGATCTTCATCTCGGCAAACTCGATGGAGTGCTCGTGGCCTTTCCAGTGGAACCAGTTCACACCCTGGAAAGACGAAGATGGAGGGAAAATGTAGGATGATGGATGAATAACTTGCCATGTTCTTAACACTGCCTTTTATTACATCGATCACACCTTTAACTTGTTTTATGCATTTTTATCTACTTTTCTAAGCAACAACCATCGGCTCAGAATCTCATAAATGTGATTTATGCATATTTAAACAATCACTTGAGAGTCTCTGTAACAGCTAGTTGATAGAATGGACCTTTTACTTCAGCTGTTATTCCATATTTGAGTAAAATGCCAAATTTGATCTTAGTCAGGTCTATGATGTCCTCTTCCTCATTTAAATCTAAATCACAATCAACCCTCTGTGGCATGACTTTTTATTCGTTGGGGATTAAAATCTCACCCCCTTTTTTGGGAGCTCATATAGTCATCCTAAAACCTGAGAAGTTTAACGAGGACGTTTAACCATGTTTAACCAGGAAGTTCTTTAACATTCTAGAAACATCTGGACCAACATCTAAAATGGACATTTCTTATGTTTTTCTTACGTCTCTTCTTCTTTCTCCACATAAAGATAAAAGTCTGGATATGTGCTTTGTTGCCTGAGGGCTACACTATGCCATAGAGAGTTAAAGTAGAGTTTTCCTTTCTGTTCTTACTTATGTTTTTCCTGCCAAAGAAAATCTTCCCGTAAAAGATGACAATCTTTTACGGGAAAGTTCTCATAGACTTTTGAAATTCCACTATAGAGGTGGGCTCAAATATCATTACTCAAATGAGAAATTATTTAAGGGAAACCCTCTTGACGATATAAAAAAAAAAAAAAAAGAACAGTCGGATGATTGAAAATCCATAAGAAACTCTTCATAGTCAGCTGTAACGGGTTTTGTAGATCGACATTTTCCAGCCAGAAGGTTGTCGGCTTGATTCCATGTCCAATTATAAGCCGATGTGTTCTTTGGGAAGACACTAACCCTGATACGCTTATTTTTGTGTGATAAAGATGAAGTGCGGCATGTACAGAGTGAGAATGTATTATATAAACCTTGTATTGGTATGAGTGAATGGGGGAATAAGAAACACTGTAAAGGGCTTTCCAGAGACAGGAAAGGAGCTTCACCTTGCTGTGACTGTTGTCTCCATATCGGCCCATCAGGTTGACCCGGTGGCAGTTTTTGTACCAGAAGGCTCCCTTATAGGACAGAGCGCAGTTGGTGACGGCGATGTCGTTGTCGTGGTCATACGTGGAGAACGGACGTCCGTGGTGATAGGTCATGGAGTCGCCTGCGCACACACAGGAGAAACGACAACTTCTGTCACAAGAAGCTAAAGCAGGAAGTTTGCAAATGAAATATCCCTCCCACAATTCAGACCACGTCATCTTTGCTTTTTTTTTGCTTATTTAGGTAGACTGAAAATAGGAAGTCTCTGCTTTCAGCGAAACAAATCAAATAATCAAATATCTAAAATAATCACATATCAAATTAACACAATGTGACTGCTTTCTTTTTTCATTACTAAGACTTAAATCAACACTGGTACCTTGAAACACCCCCTAAGTAACCAGTTACACTTACCTCCACATTTGAATATATGTTTTCAGATTTAGCCTTTTTTTATATTCTTATTGACTTTATAAAATCAATTATTTTGGGTGTTTTTTAGGCTTTGTTATTTGCTTTCCACCTAAAGACACGTATATATATCTATGCAAATAGCGTCATATTTAGATGGATCGATAGATAGATAGATAGATAGATAGATAGATAGATAGATAGATAGATAGAGTGTCTCTCTCTATATACTATATATAAAGTTGTAAACATAAAAACTCGGTGTTACAATGACTGCTAGAGACAGTGATGTACGGAGGTCAGGTGTTAGGATGGACGAGGACTTTAGGCCTTGAGCAGTTGATAACCATAAACTCTACCTGCTGTGCCACTGTAACCTCCCACGTGGACTTTGTATCGGGTCCGAGGTTCGGAGACGGAGAACTTGTCATACTGAGCGTAGGCGCTCTCCCCCTTATCTCTCAGGTCCACCCGCAGCTCATACTGACCTCCGGCCGTAATCTTATGCAGGTTGGACAAGCCTGAGTGAAAGAGTGTTAGACATGATGGGATATTTTCAATGGATTTTTTCACAGTATTTCTTTTCAAAAAGGTTTAACTAGATTTGTCATCACAAACACACATATTGTATATACATATCAGCAAAAAGTTAATACAAAAAATACTAAAATAATTCTTTGTACTGGACCAGATTCGTACATGTGTTTAGAAGCAGAGTTTTGTGTTTTGCTAATAATTACCAAGCCAGAATTCATCATTCATGTCCCCAAACCCAGCCGTGTAGTTCTTCCAGTTGCGGAAAAACTCTTGTCTGCCACTTTGACGTCGGAGGAAAACCTACAAGGAAAACAACAAACACAAGTAAACTACCAATTTAAACATTATACATTGAGAAGGTTTTTAAAAAAAATTTTTTTTTGGTTAAAAACCATATAAACCGGATACACAGTGTGAAACGCAGTGGGTTTAACACGTTTAGTACTTTTTTAACTATAAATCATCCGTGAACTTAATTGGTTATGAAAGATTTTTATCCTTTTTTATCTTTTCAAGCGTAATAAACAGAAAAAGCTCTAAACATTTAACACAAATTCCTGATGCAAATGCACTCCATTGCTGCTGGGTTTCTTTTTTGGGTCTGTTTTTGGTGCGCTTTGGTATATGCAGCACTTTTCATATTACACGTCTGTCACATGACTGATGGTGAGTGAGTGATTTGTGTCAGTTTGATGCTTGAAACATGACATTACTATATTTGGGGCTACTTCCAAAAAGTAAACAACCATTCCTCTGACATATGAGCTTTTAAAATAAATGCGCATGTAAAATAACTGTTAATTCATAAGTAACATCGTATAAAATGTAGAGCTAAAACCTCACTGAAAGCCAATTCTAACAATTAGATTGTCCAAATCCAGCGAATGACTGAATGTGGAGAAGCATAACTGATGACACAATGCCTCTGGCAGCTTCCCAACGGAGAGAAAACCGGCTGCAGGCTGCTCAATTTGTGGGTTTTTCATGTTGTTCTCTCCAACAAACACATCTATCAGTATATAGTGAATATATATATATGTATCCCGGGTGGCAGGAACTCACAATCCATCCTCCACCATCCGTGGCCATGTCGCAGTAGACCTGCAGGGGCTGGCTCTCGTCTCCACTTAGGTAGATGTTGTACAGACCAGAGGAGGTGTCCCCGTTCAGTAGGGCCTGGGAGCAGTCCCTGGGGTGTCTGTACTGCACACCAGCTGGACACACACACACACACACACATTGAATACAGTTGAAATTGCACTTCAAGTGGTCTTGATTTGTCTCTATTGGGCGTTCGGTCTTTTTTCAGTGGGTAGAAATCAGCTTTACTGATGTCATACTTTGCCTCCAAAGTATTCATAAATATCCATTCGTATAAACACAGAATGTGTTAATTTCCCTTAGACAGGGAATTTAGAAAGGAAATCTAGTGTGCTCAAGTTTAAAGAATACATTTTCAAGTCTCGACAAACATTTTATGTCATCTTTATTTTCCATTAGATTACCATTTTTTAAATTATGAATCATTCATCATCAGAATAAAGTGATAATGAACTCTAGTGAATTGGATTAATAGGATGTCTTGGGGTTATTGCCATTTGGTGTAAAGTGGCTGAACATTACATTTTAGTGAGCAGTTACAAAAAATGAAAGAATTTAATTGATATACAACTAAATTACTGCCGTTAGAGCTTGTATAACTATTAAATCAGACATTTTAACTCTCCCTCTGTTTGCTCTGCTTGCTTCATTCTACACAATCCAAAAAATGCCCAAAAAATGACAAACAAGACAACCATAAGCACACTCATCCCAAGTGAAACGGACTGATTTTAACTGAATTTTTATATTACAAACAACATGTAAAACCTTTTACTGACGTCTTCTTTCCTTGTACTGGATATTTAACTAATATTATGCACTTATGAGTAATGGTAGACATCAATTTGACACAGTTCACCGATAGTGACACCGACTTATTGTGTCTGTGATGCGTTCACTTACTGGTGGTGAGGACAGTAGTGATGACTCGGCTTCTTTTGGGACCGGCCAGAGCCTGAAGCCTGACCGAGTACTCTGTGGAGGCAGTGAGCTGAGCCATGTTGTAAGACACAGCCGTTGGGCTCAGGACAACCTCCTGAGGGGGGGAAAACAAGAAAGGGCTTATTTTTTTTGCCTGCACGGGTCATAGCACCAGAAAAGTTCTGGTCCACTCCGTACTGACCCGGATGGTGCCGCCGGCAGACTCGAAGCTGAGGATGTAGCCGGTGATGTCGGCACGCGGGGGCTTCCAGGTCAGCATGGCGCTCTCCGTCTGGAGGTTACTGGCCGCCAAGTCCTGAGGCGCATCCACATCTACCAAAAAAAAACAAAAAAGAAACAATTATTTTAAACTATGAAATGACCTATTGTATCATCTTTGTGTGAGATATGTCTCGATACATTTGATAGGCATCTTGAATCATGCACGTTAAGCATATTTCTGTGATGTTAACGTGCAAATTGAGTTTTTAAAAAGTTTATTATTTATTTATTTATTTTAAAATAAATGTTTAAAATGTATTTATTTTTATATTTATTCATTTTGATGTTTTGTATTTTTTTTAATTAATTTCTTTTTTATTATTTAAAAATAATAATAATAATAATAACAAAAATAAAAACAATAATAAAAATAAAAAAATTAAAAATTAAAATTAAAATTAAAATTAAAATTAAAATTAAAATTAAAAT